CAACAATTTCAACACCAGACGTTGGCATCAGATGAAATATGACAAATAAGGGTAGGTCGCAGACGTAGGTGCAGGGACGTAGCATTAGCCTTGCGCGGAAATTATACAATGATGCACGCCTCACAATCACATCTGTCGTCTTAGTAGCAAATCGCTGCGGAAACGGCAGTCTACCGGTGTTGTAGCTGTCCTCTAAATTATAGAGCAAACCTGATTTTTCCTAAGGCCAAATAAAGCCAGCAGCCGATATTTCAACGCCAGACTCCGCATCAGCTCAATGAGCGCTTCAATTAGCGCCATATCTCATGGCGGATATTTTCATCTTCACGCTGACTATTTTCTTTGTATCTCTATGTATCCCGTGTATTTTCAATTCTCTAAGTGTAAATTAACACATTAACCCGATGTATCACTGCCTAGATGAAACGTTTCACCGTTCAGTTTTTTCTCGTGTGATTGGCTATTCCATCTAGAGAGATGCTGTGTGCGCGAGCGTCGACGCTTCACAACCAACCAATTGGAAGACTTACGCTCATGGAGACCAATGAGCGTTCGACTGGTACCCGCAAAATGTTTGTATTTAAGCCGCCTATTCTCTCGCTATTCCAAAGGCTAACGTGTTAACCTGACGGGATGTGTTTACCTTGACCTTTCCGCAGATATTTTATTTGGTGAGTACAAGTATGTTTGCTACTGATGTTACTCGAAGTGCAGTAATTTCCTAGAAAATCGTATCATTCAATTTATTTATATAGTTACGTAGTTCACGAAACAGAGGGATTCGCATCATTCGCAAATCGTATCATTCAATATATATTAAAAGATTTCATGCCTTGCATTAAGATGTTATCTTGTGAATCCTTAGCTGCATCGTATTGATTGTAATCATTGATTTTTATGAATAAACTAGGAATGATTGATAAACCGGCCAGCACCGCATCAGAGAACAGTCCGACCGACACTCCCTGGCGACCCTGGGATCTGTCAAGCACTATGTCGGGAATTTCGAGCTCTCCCCTCGTCATGTCTACTCCACGCCACAGTTCTGGATCGGGTTCTGCCTACTCAAACACCTCCTCCATACCTCCGCTGTCGTTCGAAGAACTTAGTGACTTCGACGATCAACCACAGAACCTCTCAGTAGGGGGAACCACCTCGCAAGAGATACTCAAAGCATCTTCTTTGCGAGGGCTGATTCCACCGCCTAATGTTCTTTTAGGCCTCCTTCGACAGCATCCTTCTGACCCCGTCCTCTGGTTCAACTTCTTTTGTCAACTGTTGGCCACAAAGTGCCCACTTGTGAGCACGTTTACACCGAGTGTAGAGACGAAGCTGTCGCCTCCACCGGCAACAATGGAATGTCAAATCTGTCACAAAACCTACAGCCAGATGTCAAACCTGAAGCTCCACATTCGAACCCACACACTGCCCTGTCGCTGCTCCTACTGCGGAAAGGCGTTTTCGAGGAAGTGGCTCCTCAAGGGACACGAGCGGACCCACACAGGTGAGCGGCCCTACTCGTGCCACGTGTGTTCGCGCTCCTTCGCCGATCGATCGAATCTTAGGGCACACATGCAGACCCACCAGAAGGTCAAGCGCTACAAGTGCCACAAGTGTCCCCGCTCCTTCTCCCGACTTGGGCTGCTCCAACGCCACGTGCTGTCGGGAAAATGCGACGCCAGCCATGGTCAATAGATGTTCACCAAAACAATCCTCCACCAGATTCCAATTCGATGAATATTTTTGTACATTTTTTTTAATTTCCATTCGAGTAAACACGGTCCCAGGCATGGGGCTTGTGGCGAAATGTTGCATTTTCTGCTTCCGAAGGGAGGTGTGGTGATTGGCTGGAAGAACAAATGCAAAAATACGCATGAATCGATAATCGATAAGTCAGTTACTTTGACATGAATGGGGCTATCACATCGAAATATCTAATAAGGTGTGACTGAACGTGAAAGCTCTGTGGACTCAGTCACAACTGGCGCCAAAAACAGGAGGCTGGTGTGAGTGAAACAGCTTGCGAATTTGAATGTTGATTTTGTAACGCGCAGTCAACTAATTCCTGTGTGAATTAAACCTGTTGCGACAGCTTCCGTGAAGCTGGGAACTTACAGCGCCGAA